GAGAGAGAGAGAGAGAGAGAGAGAGAGAGAGAGAGAGAGAGAGAGAGAGAGAGAGAGAGAGAGACGGCATTGTTTTCTTTGCAGAACTTGATGTCAGGTGATGACAGTGTCTTGCTCAGGAGGAGGTGGAAGAGGAAACTCATGGATGATTAGAATCTTGATGATGTATGCAAAAGTGCTGCATTTTTGGAAATTGAAGAAAAGGCGTTGACTCCTTGCTCTGCCCATTGATTGGTGGATTGTTTGATGTGACTTTCGAGATCTTGTGAATATCTGTGGCTATCGGTTTATTGCATGCTTTCGAGGCCATGCACTCTCTTTCTCTCTCTTTCTCTTTTTTATTTTCTTTTTTTTTTTCCCAACTAGGATGACCACTTTTCTGATCTCCTTTCTTCTCTTTCTGGTGTTTTTCTGTGCCTGTTCTGCTGTGGTTGTTGTGGCCTTTTGAATGATGATGACTGTTGCTTGCAGCCGAGTCCCTCAGCATGTCTGCCATCTTGTGGGCAAGTTCCTTCGGGTCCTGTCCGCCTATGCACTCTACTACTTTCTGGCCTCCACGAATACGCCAGCTGGCATCACCGTGTTCTACTCTTTGGTGGGATCGACAGCTCTCTTCTTATTGTTCCAGCAACCATGGAGAGGGCACCGTCCATTGACGAAAGACCAGGTATTTGTATATTTACATATATGCATATGTATATTCTCACGGAGAAAGAGAGAAAGATAAGTGCGGTTTGATGCAAGAACAGGACCATCTGAAGTTCAGAGATCATTTTGAAAGATATGGAAAGGTCAGATGAAGATCAGGTGAAAGTGAGGTGAAATGTGAAAGATCAAGCGAATCGAAGAAAGATCACTCCAAAGATCCGGTGACCGGAAGACAGGAGGTCCGGTGAACTGTAGGCAGGAACAGGGAGGGAAAAGGACAACAAAACGGGAGCTGTGACACTGTCGTGTTGGAGTTTCATGGACTCTGCTAGGACTACCCTACAACTGGCCCTGAGGTGGGCACCCACCACTGCCTTCAAAGGTACCTGTGACGAAAATCAGAGCGGACTATCGCTCGCCCATAACACGCGGAAGACTCTAGAGACTGCAGGTTTACACCCCGTGATAAGCCAGCAACACCCGCACGGAACAAAGAAAGGTCTTTTACAGCCAGAAAAAGGTACTCCAAACACACTGCTGGTACCGAGTAGTGACTGCCTGACCACTGCCGTGCAACCTGACCGAAGAAAACCTTAGCAGTTATGTATATATATCTGTTGGATGATATATAGCGAATGTGCACTTAACTGTGATGGTGAACGCCCCACAATCGTCATGGCCTGCAACCGATGCCCTCCCGCTGATCTACAGGACGAAAACCATTCAGGTAAAAGGATGGGGGCGATGGTAGCAGCCCTCCCGCTGATCTACAGGACGAAAACCATTCAGGTAAGCAACTTCGTCACAGCAGGAGCCAGGGCGGCTAGCATTAACCATACCTCTGAAGCATGCACGACAGAGGGCATGCGGGTTGCAGGCCATGATGATTGTGGGGCGTTCACCATCACAGTTAAGTGCACATTCGCTATAGCGCCAGCAGGCACAGATGGGACATACTACATCTGGATGTAGAGGATGTTCACAATCCGGATACAGGTGGCATCCCTGCCGACAGCGGGCCTGAAAAATTATACGGTTGTAGTGATGTCGACCAAATCGATGCTTTCCACAACCAAGTGTAACTGTGTCAGTGATCTCACGAAGAAGGAGGTCACAAGGTGTTAGTGCAGCATGTGGGGGAATGAAGACTAAAGCAGGCATGGTGACAGACATGGAGGTAGGCATGGAGACAGACACAGAAACAGGCATGGAGACAGGTGCGGAGGCAGGCACAGAGACAGGTGCAGAGGCGGGCATGGAAGTACACGAGGTACACATAGGGTCAATGACCTGGAGCAGTTGCAGGTTAGGGTGATTACGCACGAGATCACAGATGGCAGTAATAGTTTGCACCATAGCACC